AACTACAGTGAAATGTGAATCATCCATTTCAGATTAGAGACTACTTATTTGTATTAAAGGACTATATCAGTGTCATATAAATGGTACCTTGGTGAAAGAGAAGAGCTGTGTAAATTAAACTAAATCCAAAGCAGATGCTCAGTAGCTTAGACTGCTTTTCAGGGATTCTTATGACAGCTGACCAAACACTTCACTTTCCATGAACTTTATGTCATATATTAGAATATGGAATGATGGGTTATTTGCCCAACCATTTTTTTGCCCTTGCTCCTGTCTCCTCTTCCAGCCTCCACAAATGTAGTGGCTTTCCCCTGTAGACATTGACTGAGAGTTCATATACTACCTGTATTCACAATGCATGCTCTTACAGCTGCCATTGCTTTCACCCTAATTTCCTTCAAAAAGATATTAAAAAACAACAACTCAAATAGCTGAAAGATAAGTTCTTATTTTCTGTGTTCTTATTTTGTTAATGCAAAAGAGGAAAAAAGGAAGTGGATATGAATTTAGAGCTTTCAAGTGAAAGTAGTTGATGTTTTAACATTCTATCTTCTTTTTATAACTTAATCAGCAATACAGATAAACATGCCACTAAGATTTGAGTCTCTGTGAGTCTGCAATTGCCAAGGCCTGTTTAAGATTAAGTGTTTTCTGTGTTAAGAACAGTGTGCAGCTGAGTACTGGTGAGGCAAAACCCTGAGGTGAATCTGGGACCCAATGCCACAAAGCAAGTGCAAAGCCCTGAACCTGGAGAGGAGCAAGCCCAGGCACCAGCAATTGCTGGGTGCTGACCAGGTGAAAAGCAGCTCTGCAAAGAAAGAACCTGGGGGTTCTGAGGGACAGCAAATTGAACACGAGCCAGCAATGTGTCCTTTCTGTGAAGGTGAATGGTGTCTGCATCAGGAGTGCTGCAGCAGGTAGAGGGAGATGATCCCTGCCCTTCATTCAGCACTGAGGCCACACCTGGAATGATGTCCAGTGCTGAGCTCACCAGTATGAGAGATACAGAGCTGCTGGAGAGGGTCCAGAAAAGGGCCAGTAATGTGAGTGAGAGACTGGAGCATCTCATAAGGGAAGGCTGAAAGAACAGAGACTGTTCAGCCTGGAGAAGAGAAAGATCAGGTGAATTGTATCCATGGATATAAATACCTGGAGGGGCACAGAGGATGGAACCACGCCCTTTTTAGTTGTGCCCAGTGACAAGACAAGAGGCAATGGGCACAATCTGACACACAGATTTTCCCCTGTGAAAATCTGGGAATACTTTTTTCCTGTAAGGGTGACTGAGCACTGGCACAAGTTTCCCAGAGCTATTGTGAAATCTCCATCCTTGGAGATATTCAAAAGCCATCTGGATGAAAGAATTCCTTTCATTGCTGTGTTCTACTTCACAATCCTCTTCTGAGATTTGGACAATTTTCAAAAAAGGTTTTTTGTTCTACCACTGGACTATGGGGACCTTCTGACACTAAATTCAATCCCTAAATCACGGGTGAGTGTCAATACCTGGAGACACCTCAACTCACTGACTGCTTCCCATGCAAACCAGACCTTCCCTCAGCTGCCTGCCTCACTCCTGCCTCTTGCACAGCTGGGTCCACATCCTGCACAGCACAACAGCAAAAACCCAGAAGAGTTCTCTGAGTAGAATGGCTTTGTTGTTGGCCACTGGAAAGGCAATGTCCCCAAAGTCAGGTGATCTAGCCCAGTACTCTCAGCTATAGAATCACAGAATCGTGGCTCTAGGTGGGGTGGGGTGTGGGGAAGTGCACTGCCTCACCAGGGCAGGGCCTGACCTGCCCTTCCCATATTTTTGCCATTTTTATTTTTCCCATATTTTTTCTCCTCAGAGTCATCTGATCTTCATGCATCCCAAAATGTCTCAGGACATCAGTCTTCCCAGTCTCTCACACCTGGGTACAGGAAAAGTCCTGGTTAGCCAGGACTGATGATACATTATGGAGAGTGGCTGGGCAAATTCTTCCCACTGTTCCCTCAGGGGTCTCAGGTGAATTCTGTCTGGCCTCAAAGATTTGTGCATGTCTAAAATCAGCAGGTGACTGATAATTGCTGACTAATTCCTCCTGGATTGCAGGGAGTCCATTCTGACTAACAGCTTTAGGGGCTGGTTGCCCTGAGGATAACCACTCCTGTTGATGACTGAGGCAAAGAAGGTGTTAAGTACCTCAGCCTAAATCTGACGGGATATAAAGCAGCTCACATGGCTGTGCTAGTGACTGATAATTGCTGACTAATTCCTCCTGGATTGCAGGGAGTCCATTCTGACTAACAGCTTTAGGGGCTGGTTGCCCTGAGGATAACCACTCCTGTTGATGACTGAGGCAAAGAAGGTGTTAAGTACCTCAGCCTAAATCTGACAAATCAGCTCACAATGGCTGTGCTCTGTTCCTAAAACAAGACCCATCTCTCTCCAGCAGTACCAGTAAATCCCCTTCCCTCCTCTCCATCAGCATTGTCCAGGCATGTCTGCCACCCCCAGTGCTCGTGGTGTTTTGGACTAAGTGTGCAAGGTATTTATAATGAACTGGAAGTGCCTGAGTGAGGATGTATTGGTAGAGAGCATCTGGGACTGCATGCTGACATGATGTGTTTCTGCATACATCCAATTATTTGTATAGGTATTACTGAAAAGAGGATTTTCCTGCCATTTGTAAGCAGGTGTGCTGGTTTCACTTGGAAGGCACTTCAAATCAGTTATTCTTCCTAGGGTTAAGGATAATTTAAGATGCCAGCAAAAGCAGGGAGCATCTTGCCCACTGGCACTAACCTGCAGATGAGGAGTTTCAGCAGGTATAACACATCACAGTGTTCCCAAGAACAGTTTTTAGAGAATCTCCCACTTATTTCCAATCTGAAGTGTGTGCACAGAGGCACACAGGCACATGCCTCTCTGTGTGTGTGTGTGTGTGCCCACTCTTCCTGATACCCTTAAAGCTGCCTCACATCTTTCAGAGCCATCAACTTAAAAAGCCCATGTAGAGCCCAGCCTCCCCTGCTCCAATGTTTAGCTGACCACCCTGCTGTGCCTGTCACCCTCCTCACCTCTTCTACATCTGCACTTCTGCTTTCAGGGTTAAACCAAAACTGCCAAAAGGTTTTAATAATGCTAGTTTATGTTTTAACATCCTGTTTTATCTATTGTACTACTGGGATAGCTGCAGCACACACATACCAAGCAATCCATCTCAGGTCGTGCAGTGAGTCGGTGGGAAAGCCAGCAATAGAATCCATAAGTCCTGAATCCAAGTTCTTTAAGTGCTTCGACTAGTCCAGATTCCCTCCTTAACACCCTTGGAAGATTGTTTATAGAAGATGTATTCATATAGCCACTAAGACATCAAAATTTTCTAATTATATCTAGTCATGTCAAATGACAATTATGCCCTTAGTTCAGTTTGCCAGACAATGCTTCACCAAAGAGGGTTTGCCAAAATATTTTTGACCGAAGAAAGAGGAGGCATCTGTAGCATCTGCAGGCGAGATCGTATAAAATGTCCCTGCAACACGTCTGCCCTGGCTCCACAGAAAGCTCCAAGGTAAGAGATGGGGTCTGCAGGCTGCCAGGAAGGGATGGCAGCCTAATGTGCCACCACATTCCTGCTGCCTCCGGTGCTCCTGTGCAGGAGGGGACTCCATTACAAGTCTGTTTTCAAGGCACCTGCATGTTTTCACTCTTGATTTTTGTGCAGCAGCAATTTGGGAATTGCCATTTCTGTTTTACAGCATTGACCAGCTGCCAGCCCACAAGCCATACAGCTGGTGTCACGAGAGGTAAGAAGCTGATTTACTAATTTATAGGGACAGAGACAGATCCTTTTGGGTGGGGTGTCAGGAAGGTTCACTGGTTCACCCTATATGGAAACCTGGTGGGATTGCAGTAGAAAGTGGTGAGGGTACCCAAGGCTGTGTTTGAAGCCTCTGGGTGCTGATGAAAGAACAGAAAATCCCCATGGGGACATTCTTCACTCCTGCTTAACTGACCTTACATAAACAAAGGAGTGCTGCTTTCCCATCTTTGCTACAGCAGGAGAATGGGACCAGAGAAGCAGAACTGGGAAAAAATGCAAAATCCTGTATTCTGCTTAAGAATATGTTAATTACTAAATCATCTGAAAATACAGACCTTCTAACCACCTTTGGAGAGTGCAAGAATTCTCAGCTTTCTTAGATATCCATTTTCTTACTCCAGACAAAAAAATATATTTATTACCTAAAGAATAAAGAGGGAATAAATTTTACTAAAGTAGCTAGAGGATTTTCAAGTGCAGTTAGCTAAATTTAGGTACCTTAAATGTTTAATAAATCAAAACTTTTGAGAATTCTTGTGTTCCTAGATTTTTTAAGTAAGCATTTATTTGAGATCGTAACAAAGCCTTGGAAATTCCAGTTTCAGGGACTGAATTTTATTCCAGCCAAGTCAGAATTTTGGGGCTGAAATTATTTAAGTATTGTAGTGAAGGGTGACAAATGCATAGAGCAAATTAATTGTGGCAGAAGATTAAAAGGTCACAAAGCCTGCACTCTTTTTTTTTTTTCCAGTGGAGAACTTCATTAGCAAAATTTATTAATTACCCTACCATTAAATAGGTAAATGTCTCACAGATTCATTGTTTTCCAAGTACAGTTTTCAGTAGTTTTATTTCACTGTTCATCCTTTTTGCAATTTCTTCTATTTCCATTCCTAATAGTGAGGTCTTAGTGAAACTTGTTCAATAAATTGACTCTTGTCTTACAGGCACAGTATTCTTAAAGCACCAAATCCATAGTTCTGACAAGGTCATCAATGAATGTTTGAAGACCTAGACTGCATCCATGAAAGCCTCTTATTTTGACATAAAATTAAGTTACTAATTATCTCATGTTAAAATACCCTGAGTATGAAAAGACACCAAGGCACAGGATGAAATTTTTCCCAAACCTTACAGAATAAATAATCAGTACCACATTTTTCTCCTCAGACTCATCTGCTGGCATATCCTCAGTAAACTGCAGACATGGCCTCTGGAGATGCTGAGATGGCCATCTTTGGGGAGGCGGCTCCTTACCTCCGAAAATCGGAAAAGGAGAGAATTGCAGCCCAGAACAAACCTTTCGATGCCAAGTCATCTGTCTTTGTGGTTCATCCCAAAGAATCCTTTGTGAAAGGGACAATCACGAGCAGGGAATCGGGAAAAGTCACTGTCAAGACTGAGGGGGGAGAGGTGAGTCAAAAACAAGGCTCAAGAACAACATTTTCTTCCTTCACTGCGTTCTTAGCTGACATATGAGGATCTTTTGTTTCCTTGGCAGACCCTGACTGTGAAGGATGACCAAATCTTCTCCATGAACCCTCCCAAGTATGACAAAATCGAGGACATGGCCATGATGACCCACCTGCACGAACCCGCTGTGCTGTACAACCTCAAAGAGCGTTACGCAGCCTGGATGATCTACGTAAGTGGCAGCAGCAGCTTCCTCTGGGCAGCCTCAGGAGCTGCTGGGCCAGGCTCAGGGGAAGCCAAGGTGCTGTGTCCCTTCCTTGCAGACCTACTCGGGTCTCTTCTGCGTCACTGTCAACCCCTACAAGTGGCTGCCGGTGTACAACCCCGAGGTGGTGTTGGCCTACCGAGGCAAGAAGCGCCAGGAGGCCCCTCCACACATCTTCTCCATCTCTGACAATGCCTATCAGTTCATGCTGACTGGTGAGTGTTTGACCTCCCTCACAGCAATCTAACCAAAAAAACCCTGCTGATCTCACTGGAGCATGTGACAAGCCAGCTGGAGCCACCAAGAAGCATGATTGCAAACTTGGTCCATCTATGTAGCAAACAATTTCAAGTGAAACTGACCAATGATCATTCATGAATTTATCATGGTGAATTATTTGTTATTTATTGTACAAAATTCTACAAGCCCCTACTGCAGAAATAGTACTTGGCTCAGTTCTCTAAATTTTTTCACTGATAAGAAAGAAAAAGTTATTTTTTCTTTTATTTTGAGCTTGGGTAAGTACTTTTGTTTCATTTCTTGAGGAAAATTATGTGAATGGCAAGTGATACACACCTTATCTCAGGTCCAGATGCCTCTGACTGTTCAGTATATCCATTTGGGCTTATGTTTAATACTACTAGGACATAGAAGGGAATGGGGTAGTCCTGGACTTTTTGAAGAATCCCCAGCTTTGGTTTGCAGTTTTACTTCTCATTCAGTTTAGCATTACCCAGGTCAGCCACTAACATATCTCCCATTGTTCTGCTCTTCCATCCCTTCCCAAAATCCCATCTCCATGTACATTCCCACAAGTGTCTAACTCTTTCAACCTCCCTGGACAGATCTGCTGGAGAAGTCCAGAGTCACTTTCCAGCTCAAGGCGGAAAGGAGCTACCACATCTTTTATCAGATCATGTCCAACAAGAAGCCAGAGCTAATCGGTAGGAGACATCCCTGAGCTTCCGAGAGGAAAATATCTGAGCAACATTCCACTATTTTACAAGATTAATTAAATTTAACCCATAAACACATTTGTTTTCAGAAATGCTCCTCATTACCACCAACCCATTTGACTTCCCTTTTGTGAGTCAAGGGGAGATCACTGTTCCCAGCATTGATGACAAGGAGGAGTTGATGGCAACAGATGTAAGTAATGTACAGAACAGGTCAACAGACACAGGTCATACATCAGATAACATGCCAGTATTTCACTTTGTTCATTGCATTACCAGAGTGCCATTGACATCCTGGGCTTCACTGCTGATGAAAAGACAGCCATCTACAAGCTGACAGGGGCTGTCATGCACTATGGGAACCTGAAATTCAAGCAGAAACCAAGAGAGGAACAAGCAGAGCCTGAAGGCACAGAAGGTATTATCAAACTCAGTAATTAACCCTCTGTAAGCCACTACATACTTGAATGACAGCAAAAGTTTTTCACTGTTGGACTTTAGATCCCAAGGAAAACAATCATCTAGGAAAAAACAGCTATCCCTTGTCCTTAGTACATCAAATTTCCTGATTTCAGGATTTACATATCTTATGCTATGAACAATTACTACTTTAAACTTATCTTCATAATCATTCAAGAAGTAAGGAGTTATGGATGTTCCTTTAGTCGTACCTTTGCTGGAATATGGCTTGTAATTGTGAAACAGCCCAGTGATTAATCTGAACATGATAGGGAACCATGTTCCCATGCACCTTCACCTATCAGATGCTCAGCAAAGTCAGCTGTAAGAGGTGTTATTTCATTCCTTTCCTTTGTTGACACAGGGCCTACAACCCCATCTTCAGTTCTGTGAGCAATGCCTCCTCTTTTTAAAGGACAAGGCAGGTGGGGAGCACCACCGGTAACTGGATGAAGCTCAACGAGTTTTATTGAATATCAGAAAGAAAAGCTCAGAAAAGGCTGTAGGCTGTGGATCTGAAGGAGAACAGAGATATTGTCTCTGTGTTCCACTCTAACTCTTTTGTTAGATCACCTGGTGACCTGAATGTAGATCAGTACCTGACTGTTGTCACTGCAGCTCCTGAGCTGTGTGTATACTGCACACATTCAGACAAGCAAGTTTCAGTTTTCAGTTTTGTGCCAGGAGATTTTTGAAAGCTTCATTACTTTCTGCATGCTCCTGTAAAGAATTTAAAACAATTTTTTTTAAGAAAAGCTCAATATGCATAATAGCAAGTGTGATGTTACAAAGATCCCCTCTATGAGAGTCTATCAAAAGTTTTCAAAGAACATAAATCTGAACCATTCAGCCTTTAGGGAATGCTCTAGGATTCAAAGCCTACTGCACATAAAATTCTTCCTTTTTCCTCTGGCTTTTCAGTTGCTGACAAGGCTGCCTACCTGATGGGTCTGAACTCAGCAGACCTGCTCAAGGCCCTCTGCTACCCCCGTGTCAAGGTGGGGAATGAATACGTCCCCAAGGGCCAAACAGCACAGCAGGTAAGAAACACGTTGTAACCTGGAACCATGTGTAGAATGAATATCATTTTGATTCACCTCTGCCTTGTATTGTAACTCTAGGTATTTTTTTTTCCCCTGTAGGTGCACAATGCTGTGGGTGCTCTGGCAAAGGCACTTTATGAGAGAATGTTCCTGTGGATGGTTGTTCGCATCAATCAACAGCTGGACACGAAGCAGCCCAGGCAGTACTTCATTGGTGTGCTGGACATTGCTGGCTTTGAGATCTTTGATGTGAGTAAGATTTAGTAAGAACTATTTGGAAGTGACAACTGAATGTTATGATCAATTTGAGAGACATTTTTAAAGAGAACATAATATTATCACATGATTAATGTTATTTGTCTTTTTTAAGTTAAAAAAAAGGACCTTTCAAAGGAGTTGTGCTATTTCAAGATGTGCAAACTCAAAGGTACAAAATGGTCCAATAAAAAAGTTCATTGTTTCTATAATCAGGTCAAAGACAGTATAAAAACATGTAGTCATGATAGTCCTAAGCTTAGGTTTTTTCTCCCGGTAACTTGGTCTCATTTTAAACAGGATGTATAATTTATCTTTAAATTTTATCAATGAAAAAAATTTCCTTGTGGACAATTCATTTAATCCTTTTCTCTTTTTAATAATGTCATAAAACAGACTGAAGAAATGCATGGGAAATCAAGTTAACTGCATTCACTATTTTTAAAAGAGGAGGTCTTGCAATTATTACTGCATCTTCAAATATGTGTCTTTCTTATTTTATTTCCAGTTTAACAGCTTTGAGCAGCTGTGCATCAACTTCACCAATGAGAAACTGCAACAGTTCTTCAACCACCACATGTTTGTGCTGGAGCAGGAGGAGTACAAGAAGGAGGGGATTGAATGGACATTCATTGATTTTGGGATGGACCTGGCTGCCTGCATTGAGCTCATTGAGAAGGTATCCTTCCTGTTCAAATCAGTTATATGCATGGAATCTCTGTAATTACTTGGTCTCATTTTCCAAAGGGATCTTCTATGTTCACGTTTCCCTTGTGCTGGGTAGCCAAGAGCTGGAACAGCACTCCAGATGTTTCTTCTCAGAGCTGAGTAGAGGGGATGGATCAACTCCCTTGATCTATTAGCAGCACAGTGTAGCTGAGGATGAGTTGGTGGCTTTGCTGCAATGGCTCATGTTCAACTTGTCTGACACATCTGTGTGTACTCTGAGTTCCGCTGAATAAGAAGGTAGTGCTCCGATTTTTACATAGCACATTGTCAACACAAACAAAATTAATTTCTATTTCTTTTATGAGTAATTTTGTGTTCAAAAATGTAAGTATCACTGTGATCAATCCCACTTTCTAGAAGAAAATGTCTCAGTCTATGTTCCATTACTGTGCCTAGGTGAAGATCATTATTGCCTTAAAATATAAATTACGATTGGTTTCTTCTTGTGATTTCTCCCAGCCCATGGGCATCTTCTCCATCCTGGAAGAGGAGTGCATGTTCCCCAAGGCAACTGACACCTCTTTCAAGAACAAGCTCTATGACCAGCACCTGGGCAAGTCCAGCAACTTCCAGAAGCCAAAACCTACCAAAGGCAAGGCTGAGGCCCACTTCTCCCTGGTGCACTATGCTGGCACAGTGGACTACAACATCACTGGGTGGCTGGAGAAGAACAAGGACCCTCTGAATGAAACTGTCATTGGGCTGTACCAGAAATCATCTGTGAAGACCCTGGCTTTACTCTTTGCCAACTATGGTGGAGCAGATGCAGGTTGGTTCTTTGAATTCCATGTTTTCCCTGATGTACGGCTTGCAAAAAAGAATGAAAAAGGCAAAAAAAAAATAAATAAAATCTAAAATCTGTTTTGTTTTCAATTTAGCTGAGGCAAGTGCTGGTGCTGGCAAGAAAGGTGCCAAGAAGAAGGGCTCTTCTTTCCAGACTGTCTCAGCTCTTTTTCGGGTACAGTAGAGAGTTCATTATTTCTTCCTAAGACAAGGAGTAAACCCACCAATTACTATGGCTAGTCTTGTTTTGACTTGGTTCTGTTAAAGGATTCTGAAGTTCTTGGGTCACATTCTTCTAGGAATAAATCCAATCAATCTACTCACACTTCATTTCACTGAATGCATAGTTTTTCCATTTGTTTAAGGCTGGCATTCGTCTCAGCATACGTACAAGATAAATGTATAATCTGGATATTTAAAACTCAGCTTGTTGGTTTATCTCTCTGGGTACATCCAATGGAAAATGGATATCCTTTCAAATGAAGGCACTCCACTAGAGTCAGTGAAATGTATTAAGTTAGTATATTTAAGAGTACAGTCTTTCCTAAACATTACTCAGATTACTAAGTTAATTATACCAAAGATCTGTGGAAAGTCAGAAAAACTGGTGCAGAGAGCTTGAGTTCAGGGTTCTGCTAATTTTTGTATAGTATCTCATTTCAGAGGACTCGATGCCTACAGCAGAAATGACATTTGCTAATATCAGCTTTTCTTAATGACTCTCCCAGGAGAATTTAAACAAGCTGATGACCAACCTCAGAAGCACCCACCCCCATTTTGTACGGTGCATCATTCCAAATGAAACTAAAACACCCGGTAAGAAACTTACATGTACATTGAAGGTTTTCAGTGTGGTGCAGCTCTTCCCCACTGTATTGCAGAACATGGCATGTATTTGTGCTCTGCATTGCCAGGTGCCATGGAGCACGAGCTGGTGCTGCATCAGCTGCGTTGTAACGGCGTGCTGGAAGGGATCAGGATCTGCAGGAAAGGATTTCCCAACAGAGTTCTGTATGCAGATTTTAAACAAAGGTCAGACTTGATCCTCTTACTGGATCACCTTGTCCCTCTTAAATAGCTTTTGAAATCCAACCTTCCCCTCTTGTGCCTAAAGCGATCTCTAAAGTTTCAGTTTAACAAGTGCTGTTTGTTCTCAACAGTTCTTAAGACTCTTTCTTGCCATGCTCCTGCTAGCTGGCCTCAACAACAGACCTCTTCATATGCATAGAATCACTTAGGTTGGAAAAGACCCTTAATATTCGGGAGTTCAAAGAAAGTCCTTCCATTTTCTTCCTCAGATACAAAGTATTAAATGCCAGTGCTATCCCAGAGGGACAGTTCATTGACAGCAAGAAGGCTTGTGAGAAACTTCTTGGATCAATTGATATAGACCATACTCAATACAAATTTGGTCACACTAAGGTAAAAGATTGTTTCCTTCAAGTGCTACGTGGTTTTGGTTTGCACGGCTTGATACTGACACACAGATATTCCAGACAGCACATGAAATTATCCAATAGGGTATAAGAAATAGTGTAAAATAAATAAATCATATTCTTGATTACTCAACACTTGAATAAACTGAAATTCATGGTCATAGGATGATTTAATTAAGCTTTAATCAAGCTCCTAATTTAAGACAAAGTTGTAGGAGAAAAGAATCATGAGTGAATAAAAATGAAAGAAAAATGTCTGGCTATTATAGTTCCTCAACTGCAAGTAACCGGAAGCTTGGAATTATAAAAGAATGTCTGCCACTACATATATTCTTTGTCGTTTTGCTTTTAACTTCCACAGTGCATGTCATGGGGGGCAAGGTATGAGGTTATGTTAAAGAAGTATAGACACTGCATCTATATTCTTGTTCTTACCCAAGGTGTTCTTCAAAGCTGGGCTGGTGGGCCTTTTGGAAGAGATGAGGGATGAGAAGCTGGCACAGCTCATCACCCGCACCCAGGCCAGGTGCAGGGGCTACCTGATGAGGGTGGAGTACCAGAAAATGGTGGAGAGAAGGTAGACTTTTCTTCAAATCAGGTTTACTGTACTTTGCTTATTGTGTCATCATGTTGTAAATATTGAATATTAATTAGACTTATCTTTCAGGGAGTCCATCTTCTGCATCCAGTACAACATTCGTGCATTCATGAATGTCAAGCACTGGCCATGGATGAAGCTGTTCTTCAAGATCAAGCCCTTGCTGAAGAGTGCAGAGTCTGAGAAGGAAATGGCCAACATGAAACAAGAGTTTGAGAAAACCAAGGAAGAGCTTGCAAAGTCTGAGGCAAAGCGGAAGGAGCTTGAGGAGAAAATGGTGAAACTTGTGCAGGAGAAAAATGACCTGCAGCTCCAAGTACAGTCTGTGAGTACCACCAGTAGGCATTGTCCTAATTCTATTGTGACTATCAGGTTGCTATTTACAATAGCGGTTTGCTATGTTTTCAAACCACATAGAAACTTTGATTTCAGTTCAGTTTAATTGTAATTCTTTCAGTGGTGCTTTCAAAGGTATAACTAGCTTCTGTAAGGACTGTGAGGTATCTGTAGTCAAAATATTACATGGGTGAAACTTGTCTACGGTGTATACTGAGATATTCTGATGATCATGCACTTTGATCCAATGTTTGATATCATGAGATAATATTGGATTCTATACGCTGCACAAATTCATAAATAATCATGTATTCAGGTAGATTGAAATGGAATTTACTTGGTTTTAGCTTTTAAACCTGTCTGTTTCAAAACTAACAATATAAAATCAATTCTATATTATATGTCATTCTGTGGGAATATGAATCAAATTTTAAACTACAAAATAGCTATCCAAGACCCTGCTCTATGAAGATTAAGTATTTCAATATTCCCTGAAAAAGCATATCCCTAAAAATGGCATCTCCCTGCCAGGAAGCTGATGCTTTGGCTGATGCTGAGGAAAGGTGTGACCAGCTCATCAAAACCAAAATCCAGCTCGAAGCCAAAGTCAAGGAGGTGACTGAAAGGGCTGAGGATGAAGAGGAAATTAATGCTGAGCTGACAGCCAAGAAGAGGAAGCTGGAGGATGAATGTTCAGAGCTGAAGAAAGATATTGATGACCTTGAGCTAACACTGGCCAAGGTGGAGAAGGAAAAACATGCCACTGAAAACAAGGTATGAGGTAGAACCT